GCTTTCAGTATGCCGCCAGAAAACGGCGCCGGTGGCGTGCCGGTACCGACTGCTGGGGAGGAGCGTGCTGCAGTGCGTGCTCTCGTTGACCCAGTTGTGGGTATCTTGGGTCTGGCAGGTCAGCACAGCGGCAAAACGGTTACGGAGGGTCTTACTCTTGAGGTCACCTCCGCGAAGACTGTACCCTTTGCTATCCTTCAGTCAGTCTTAAAATCGGGCTAGTCTTTGATCTTTTAGTTTGCTTTTTTCAAAAACAAAATGAATTTGGCTATTTTTCTGTCAGAATTGTGTGTGCTAGTGAAATGAGTATGTTTGTGTAAATAAAATGATTTCTTGTGCTTTGATGTCACCTTTTGTCTTAAACCAAATGTGCGGTTGTCTAGGAATTGGGTTATTCTCGCGATTTCAGCCAGTCGGATGGATGGATTAGTTTTTTTCTTCAGATCAGAAGAGCAGTTGACGATAAATTCTCACCGGGCTGATACCCTTATATAGAACTGGGGTATACGTTAAAACCTGCGATCGATCATATTCGTCTTTTCATACAATCGAGTCGCGGGAATGGGAGTGAGAGTAAGAGATGGCTGGCTAAGCTGAGTACATATGCAGACTTTCGCGAATGAATCGATGTTGTAAATCTGTTCTAATTGTACTATTTAAGAGTACATACTCAATTGTCGCCGCAGCCGTCACCTTCCCTCAGTTTTTATGAGACGGATCCTTGAATTCCGCCATAGCTACCAACGGCCGTCTGCTTTGTTGACTTCTTCGCTGCGTTCGATTTCGTCCATCGTGAATCCCTATGGCGGCTAATGGCATGGTGTACCGCCATGACCAAGGCATACTACCGCTCAACAACCGCGCAAGTTCTGATAAATAACAACCTCTCAGAAGGCTTCATTGATTGGATCCGTGGGAAGGCCATACCGGAAAGTGGCGGTATTGAGTTTGCAGGTCGACTGATCTCGACTATGCCCATGATATCACTCTACTAGTTTCAAGCTATGGCGATCTACCGTCCATGCTGTCGCGGGTTAAAGAGGTCGCTAAGTCAGAGAGAGTGGGCTTTGTGTGGTCGCGTACCCGCTGACCGTTTTAATGTCTACAGTTGTATTGGCCTGATGACGAATTGCTGAAAACACGTGTTTGCCAAGATGACTCCTCAATCGTAAAATGGCAATATTTGCAGAATTACGACATGAGTGAATGTTTGATTCTCCCACATGGGAAGTGTATCGAAGATGACGAAGTCGGTAAGAGAAGCTTTTCCACATCAGAAGTCAGAGAAGACTGGTACGGTTAGACAGCATTTACTGTGAGGAGGAGCTTTACAAGGGCCGGTGCTACTCGCAGTCTCCTCAGGCCAGTTGTTATTTTGCGTGCTTCCGTGCGCGGGTTTACTGTATCCCGGGTCATGCCCTCTGTCCCCTGCAGCTAATCAGTAAAATGGCGCACATTGATTGGCTTCGAGCTCTGGCGATGTGCGGCAGCGAGCCAACGAGGAGCGTGAGGTAGACAGGAAGAAAACGCAGGCGGCCCTGCCGCGGATCGATCGGGTGTTTTAGGAGGAACTCGTCACTGCGGAAGTGCGAAAGTCTGGCAGGCGAAGAAAAGGTGATTTAGGAGTATTGGCGCTGATCAGGGACTGCCACAACACCACGGCCCTGGTCAGCGCAAAAGGAATCAGGATTTCACTTAAACAAGACTTGGGAAGGTGACTCCGCTTCTACCTGCGTGGCAGTACCATCACGACCATATTAAGAAAAAGCCCTTACAGCTTGACTCTAAGCGGAGGATGGAATTAGCCCGTCAGTCGCCAGCCGTTATAGCCTTGTGTGTTTCTGTATCAACACCGGTTATCCCCCAGTTACGTGTTAGGAAGAGAAGGCCGAACGGGATAGCAGATAGTACTTTACTGTCATTAGTTCTGCTTGTACATCAGCGTTGTCTTCTGTGTGTCCGTCAGCAACGTGTCTTCTGTCGTCGGTCTCGTCTGTTCTGTCCCCAGCAGCAGAATGTCGGGTCGTCGGTAGCGCGTCTCGGCCACAGATTGCTGCCTTCAGCGGTGGCAGCATATTTAAGGGCCAGTAATCATTGTTCCCTATTGGCTCTCAACGAGTGGCCTCTACAGGCAGCCTTCATGCCTCGTGTCCTCAGGTTACCGCTCGCG